TAGAAGAGAAAAATCACTGCCCCATGACAAAGACACACTTTCAAGCTTCTACCTCTAAAATTGGTGATAAAAGAAAATTTAGGATCTTTTTTCTTCTTCAATTTGTTTTTAGGGATGTAATTTTTATTTTTACATCTAATGCATGGAACTTTCATGCAGCTCTTGGTCACCATAATGGGAATAGATTTGATTTCCTATCAATCCAAATTTTCAGCCCCTTTTATCATTGTCTTGCACCCAACGTGAATAACAAGCAACTAAATACTAATCACCCATGAACTAAGGATATCCGTTGGGAGGAGAGATTTTTTTTTTTTTTTCGTTGAATGAGGAGAGATATTCCTTTGTTAATGCTTTTGGTAATTTGCATATCAAAGGGTAAATGACTCCTCAATTTGTTTATTCATGGCATTTAACTATAAGTTTTGATATTAATAATTTAGTTCTTGTTGCAAGAACATGTATAACTTAAGTTGTCAATCTATCTCTTATTTCATCTATTGTAAAGTACAAATATTTCATATTGTGCATGAAATTTTGTATGCATTAAGAAACCGAATTCCACCAATAGTTGAATAACTCACATGGATTAAAATGTTATAATATACAGGGGCGGAGCTACACTTAAGTTAGGGTGGGCCTTGCCCTTCCCCGGGATTGGTCCCAACCCCTAAGATCGTAATGATATTTAGTACGAATTTTAGAAGTAGAACTTGTTCCGTAAATTTTGATGTGTAATAGTCATGTAGTCAAATGGTAGACAAGTTTGACTTGTGTTTTTAAAGCACACGGGTTCGATCCATCATGGCTATATACATTTTGTTCAATTATTTTTGACCCCGGTTTCGAAATCCTAGCTCCGCCCCTGATAATATATATGCATCATCCTCAGCACTACAAGTCTAACTCAATGAGATAATTAATGTAAAATCTACGCACTTCCTTACCTAAATCTAATCTTCTGGGGGGACATTTCCCTTTTATTGCTTAAAGGGGATTGCTAATGAATGATGGTGGTGGAGAGAAGAGGGGAAATTAAAGTGGGGTTTACTGTATCTGTGTGTAAGTGATTTTCATTCATTACTATTCATTGTTTGGGTGCTTCCTATGGTGGAGACAATATAGTAGGAGCCTTTTTCTCTCATTCTGCAATCCAGCTGTTTGAGAGTCTGATGAATCATCTCCTTCCAATATAAACATAATTCTGAAAATTTCAACTTCAAATGCATTGAATATTGGAGGAGAAAAGAATAGCTAAAATAAAAACCATTGAATATTCAAACATGGTTGGCAGTCATAATTGAACATGTTCCACCAAATCAAATTATTGAGACTAAACGATTCATAAAATTATGGTAGTCCGATTAACTACAAACTAATGCATGATGAACTTCAACAGGTTGTTTCAATATATATGTACAATCTGTATTTAACATATTGAAAGTTATTATCTAGCTCGGTTTGAAGAAAAATATTATACTAATAATGTTATTTATTGAACAACAAATTATAGATAATATATATGATCTAATAAAAGAGAATAATCAATTTGATAACGTGATGATCAGATGTTATGCTTTTGTATTATCGAGCCAAGGTTTTCCAACACTACTTCCCATCCCAGTATTATCGGATCTTTCTCTATCTTTGTCTCTCACAAATCCCATCCTTTTCAAAAGTTGCATTCGTTTTCCGCCAACCCATCTAGTTAATTCCCAGCCTGCCAACGCAATCAACTATGTTGTCCTCTTGTTGTTTTTCTAGATTATATGTAATCTATATTATGACCTCATGTGGCACAATAAATAATGTGAAGTATTAGTTCACATTTGGTGTATACGTGGCATGCATCATCCTACTTCCATATATATATATGGAACTTGCATGAACATTATTAAGACATATCCAAACGTGCCTTCACTATGAAACTAGGGCAGTTCAATCGTCTATGTTGATCAGCTCAAAGAGCTAGCCTAGCTAGCTACAAATTGTGATCATGGAGGTGCGTGTTCTAACGGATTTGGCCGTGAGTGTCAAACTCATTGTAAAGGTCGAGTGTTATCCTTATTGAGACAATAGTATCAACGTAGAATCTCATTACGGAATGGATCACCTTTCTAATATCGATTATACACTTTTTCTTATGAACATTCATTTCTTGTAACGATCAATTTTTTATGATTTACTAGTTATTGTATGACAATATCTCCATGTCCTATTCCAGATTTCTAGTGATACTTTAACGTACTAGGATGTTAAGTAGTATCATATTCAAGATATGTCACAGTTTCTTTTATGAATTTATGTTTCTTGAATCAACCCAAACTCTTTTCTACATCGATTATTAGTTACTATACGAACATTCTTGATGTCCAATTCCAATAATGTATTAGATGCTACATAATATTGGATTGACAAATTCCATACTAGCTAACTCTGAGTTCCGAATCTTACCCACATGCAGCATAAATTTTGGTTGCTAAAAGGTATTATCAATTTCCATTTTTTAGACTTATTACAATTTCTGCAATTTGTGTTGTGGCTGCTAGCTGTGATGCCTGGGAGGATGATGAATTGATGATCCATTTCCACAAGTAGACAAAAGGTTTGATTAGATAGGTCGAAAAGTCATTACTAGCTAGATGGTTGGGCCGTGACAAGAAGTCAAATAGCCAGAATAGAAGGGAAAACCCCAATCGACTAACAACACCATATCACAAGGACGAAAGGTCACAACCGATCAACTTATTGGTAGTTGGATGTTATAAGTTGGGGGATATATTGTTGTATACAACATAGGGCTATTTTATTAATGGTGACCAAACTTTGAGGTTACTAATAAATTGGGCACAAAAATTTAATCTTTAGACTCAATAATAAAATTTGAAAAAGCTAATGTCATCAATGATCCATTCACCTTCATTAGATTTGTCATTGGAATTATCCAAATTAGTGTCTCAACTCATTCAAATAATGGAAGATCACTTAGATTATAGTAACCGTTAATCCGTTATCACGTACGATTAATTTTAAGTTTTTAACTCAAACTCGATCAATCTAAACAAATATCATTATTATTCCACCTCGTTTAACTCATACGTAGAATCAGAATCCATCCCAACCCCTTCATCCAACCCAATATATAATATGAGCCATAGGATGGTCTATGCAATATATTTTATCAGTACTTGGACTCTTTTCCTTTATTTTAATTAAATTACTATTGTAAAAAAATTGTAATTTTGAGAGTTATAATAAGTACACTAATCTCGCGGACTTGAAAGTGTAATGCTAGCTGAAAATGGATAAAATGCTATATGCAAGTTATTCTCTCTTTTTTTCAAAGAAATTCTGTTATTTGAATATTTAATGATGAGCTCGTCGAAAATCTAAGTTGAGTGAAATAAATTGGCAAGTTAAAAAAAGATGGGGAAGGAATATTCTACAAGGCCCCCAATTGGTGAGAAATTTGAAATTTCAATAGGCCAGGCCAAAAATCCTGTTTGAATAGAAATGCAGAATGACTATATTTATCAAATGATGACAGAATATTTATGGACACCTCATCCATTATCTATCTCTTTTGTGCGTAGATTTGAAATGTGGTGTGTAGTGCACATAAATGATGGAGATTATCTTTCGCTTTCACTTTGATTTCGACTTTACCCCATTTTCCCTGTTCTCGGTGCTTTCTTCTGATCATTCTCTTGCATGTCACATATTCTCACGTTATCATAAAAAATGAAAAGAAGAATAAGTCATTACAAGAATATCACGTTCTTCACAAATGGGATTTACCGGAATTCGAACACAAGTCCTTTCTGCCACAGAAGGCTCTGATACCATGTCAAGAACCAGTTGATTTCAATAACTCGAGTTGTTGGGAAAAGTTCCGTAATAAATCTTATACCACACACTAACATGATTTACAATGGCTAAGCACGTTTTGGGTTTCTCATTTAAGTAATCTACTTTGGAAAGGGGAAAAATAATAAGAAGAATATATTGTTTATCTTATCCTCCATAAATTGTGATGTATATTTAGATCTCGAATATTTTCTTTTATTGCAGTTGGTTTGTTCGTACAGATTAAATTTATTATCTGCACGGGATATACAATGGCATTCTAATACGATAGATTATGTGTAAATTTAATATATAAGCATTATGTATTCATGAATAAGAACTTCTATACGATAACATAATGACTGAAATTTCATTAAAGACAAAACAACATAAACCAACAATATAAAGTTCAATATCAAATTCTAGCCAACGAACTATTAAAAAATATAATTTTGTGTTGTACATATAAAAAACTACGATGCTTACTCAACATTAAGCGAATGAACAATATATAAATGTTTAAAATGTATAGAGAAATATATATGATTTGATCAACCCACAAGATTGAATTTATGATAAATCTATAGAAAACAAAATTTGACAAAAGATTCCAAGTGACAACTGGACAACTCAATAACAAATCAAGCAAGCTTTGTTTTTTTCTTCTTCTTTCCAAATCAAGCTTTGTTGGAGTATTAGTGTTTGATGATGACCCAATGAGCAATGAGAAATCAAATCACCAATGAGGCGATAGAGTTTTGGCAAACAATATGCAAACAAAACTGAAGAGATAAAGCAAAGAGGGAAATGGTGGCATAGGTTTAGCGGCAAACCCTAGCTAGCTTATCATTTTCGTTGATGAAATTGGCAACTAGAGGTGGCAATAAGCAAAACCACGTGCTTGATGTGTCAATAAGCAAAGGCAATTCATAACAACACATCAAGAAAGAATTTTTCAATAGAGATTTCCTTTTCTTTCAAGGAATCTTAATTGGTATGTCATATCTAGATATGAAAGGGCTGGAATTGATCCGTATTGCATTACAAGTTTATTATATGTATTATGTATCAGTGACTTGCGTATTAATCAACTCTCCAAGCAATCGATTCCCTTTTCTACAACATAATACGTGGTAGACCAAGCATTACATCCTATACTAACTTGAGCAACATAGGCAATCCTCGATTTGGTTTCATCCACACCTACGGAAAGCCACACTCAATAAAAACCCAAATCAAAACCTAAGATCAAATCAATCGAAGCATCGTGGCCCTAACAACAATTCAACATAATGAGATAAACCAGAGACATGTACTGAAAAGTGAAAAAAACCTACGATACAACAAAGGATCTGTTGTTTTCCTAGGCTTTGCATGATATTTACAGTCACTTCTACACATGTACAGGCTCTCAAAGAGACCAGAGACTGCTTCTTCCCTACCAAATGAGCGTACAACACATGATGGACTGTAAATTCCAGAGAGCAGTTTGATAGCCCTTCATCTTTGTCAAATCTCAGCGACTCAAAGCAGGGCCGAAAGACATACAAATCGGCGGGTTAACCCTCAACAGCGAAAGAACAGCCGATGGTATAGTCCATATCCCGTCGCCACATATCAGCCCGGAGGCAACAGCCCCTGCATAGTCCTCCGAATCCTTCCGGTTCACTCGCTCCCACACGAACAGTATCACCGTTCCCACAAACATGTCCACTGCGAAGTAAGCTCCGATGTAGAATGGGATCGCCATGGCCATAGGAATGGGAATGAACTGGGAGATCTTCTTAGGAGTGATGTCTTTGAGAAGGTTTATAACCAATGCAGCTGCGAAGGAGAAATAGCATATGGCTAGACAGTTCCTGGGGAGCTCCGACAGCCCTTCGACACCCAGTATCGCCATTTCTCTGAATATGACTGCGTAGGGCGCCTTGTAGGGTCCGTCCGGAGAACCTACATCGAAAGCCGACCAAAACATAAAGAAGGTCAATGGAGCAATGACGCATCCCATGGCTGTTCCGATCAGCTGGCTGACGAACATGGATTTGGCGGAGGATAAAGTGAGGTAGCCCGTTTTGAAGTCCTGCGCAAACAAAGGTAGTTAGCCAGAGCCATTATTTCAGTGATGACCGTTAAGGTAACCTGAAATCCAGAACCAGAACCAAACAGGATAGCCGCCCTTACCTGCATTAGGTCAGCAGCAGTCGAGACAATCGACATCATGACACCACAGGCAGCTAGTCCGCCAACAACTCCACCGTTAGGGCCAATAATCGAGGCGACAACAAAGAGGCCGATCTTGCCATAGGTGGAGGTCAGACTCCAGTCGGTTAGGCCTGTGCCGTACGAGTTGCAGAAGGCGAGAGCTGGTGCGAGGATGTAGCATGCAAGGACGAGGTACCATTTGAGAGGTGGGAATATGAGCGGCATTGTTGCGATTGAGATTGCTGCTAAGCAGACATACCCTGATGCAGCGAACCAGGAGGGGATTCTGTCTTTTAGAAATACAGTGTCTCGCTGTTTTTGCTCTAGTAGCACTTTTGAAGTCTCGTCATCTGGGAAATAAAAGATAGACACAATATTTCCTTCAGATCAAAAGATCAGGCCTGCTACTAAGTAACTAAGTAGCTTTGTAGAGACAATCAGAACCCTTACCTTGAATCTCGGTGATGACAGGAAGCTTGTGCTCTTTGGTGCTTTTGTTCAGCAATTCCTTGGTACTAACATAAATAATTTTAACTAGATTATAGAGTCCATCCCCGAGAATAATAGCAATAGATATGAAGACCTGCAAACAAAAACAAAGCACGAATGAACATCTCATTCCAGAAATGATTTCATGACAAAGAATACACTGCTGAAAAGGGTAAGTTGGGTCTTCTAGAAACCACTCGTGTCTTAACAATGTATAGAATCTCTGTTCATGAAGTCTGAGAAATGTAGAACGAGACAAGAGACTCAAGCTGTTTACTATCGTACCTTATATCCATAAAGGCCCTTGAAATCATTGCTACCGAGGTCAGCTGGATACCAGTCACCAGCTTTCTCAGAGATGAAGGGCCACAGGAATCCCCAAGAGATGATAGCTCCCAAAAGACAGGAGACGTTAACTATGTGTGGACAAATAAGACCGCATCCAACATAAGTAGGACTAAAGTCGAAGTAAAACCTGTAAGGTTTAAAGTCAAAGTAAGAATGCTAATGCCAAAATAGACAAACTATTTAGTCCCGCCAAAATTAGGAAAAAGTTCAAAGCAACTTACGAGTTCTTGAAAAGCGTCAGACCAAGACTAGGGAAGTTGTCAAATCCACAAGAGTCTCCAACACCACTGAAGAACCATTTGAAGCAGCTCCAGACAAAACTCATGCTCAAGTACTTCCCAAGACACTTGACTTGGTTACTGTAATTCAACGAAAAGGCAAAAAGAAAACAGAGTTACAAAAGTAATGAAACCTTGATTTCTCATTAATGCAAACAAACCTATAGCACTTTCTTTCACAACCCAGAAGGCAACAGACTAAAGAGGACTGAATAGCATATACAAACTCACCCAGCCAGCTCTGCTCCAGTGTCTGTGTGGAAACTATTAATCAACATCGCCGTAGCAGTCCCACTTGGATAAGTAAGCTTGTAATCCATAACCATAACCTATCATCAAAATAAGAACCAGATTTAAAGCCGACCATCAATTAATCCAAAATCTTAGCAATACAGTGCCATGCAAGCCACAGCAGGACATACAGTACACATTTAGCCTCCAAACCAATACTTTATCCATTTAGTCACATCCCTTTTGAAGCCAATTCACTAACTGGGGAGAGAACAGAGAAGAAACAGACTACATAAGGTTCCAAATGGCAAAACATTGAAAGCTTTCATCAACAACCACATTCACAGTTTAAGTTCGAATTGTATGCTGGATTGGGAACTTCAGCTTCTCCTCATAACGCATATTAGCAAACATTCAATGATGATAGTGTTTGAAATGGATGAAGGAGCTACCTTGCGGAGTGGAACCAGGCTAAAGAGTCCGAGAAAGCTGACCACGAACATAAAGCCAATCATCCATCCTAGTCCAGGGTTCATAACATCTTGTGCCCGATTTCCAGGATAGTCCTTACCAATCAATTCATAGGTCTTCTCATCCAGAGCAATCAAGTAGGACCCAAATCCACCTACCAACCATTATCCACAACATCACCAATTAACACTAGGAAACCAAAATTCAAAGCCAGGAAGCAGGCAATCACCAAGCTATATACCGCTGAAGGCGAGGCCGTAGGTAGCGACAACGCAAGTCTGGATCACTGTGTTCTCCTGCTTGGTGAACGGAGTAACGCTGAACCCTAATTTGGACATCACTCCAGTCCAGGACTTGACAAAGAAGAACCCGAGTAGCCCGGCGGCGACGTTCAGCGAGGGAATGATTCCGACCGTGAGGTTGAGCTTGTGCGTGATGACGCAGAACAGTCCACCCAGCAGTGCGCTCACGACCAGGCCTCGGATTGTGATCTGCTCCTTCCATTCCGGTACCTGCTCGGTCGGGATGTCACCGCAGGTCGCCTCGCCGGAGTCCAGGAGCAGGGATTCGGATATCTCGGTCCCCATTGCCGAAACGGCGGCGGAGGTGGCTCCCTTTTAGCCGCTAAGATTCAGATCCAGAGACAAAGCGAGAGATCTGGGGAAGAGGAAGAGAAGGGATTCGATTTGGTGTGGATTAGGTGATGAACATTTTCCCGCAATATATTTTTCCCGAAGTGGGGACGGGTGATCGACCGAGTGAGGATCCGACACGTGGTGAGATCTAGGACCGTCGGATTGGATGAGGAAGCGACAGGTAGTTATGGAGACGCTGTTCCGTTACGACTGCGATTACCGCCAAAAGGATGATCAATTAGTTTATGCATCGGGAAGTGTGATAGAGCCTGGAGGGACGTGTGTTGACGGAGACTTTTTTCGTAGTCATGCATTGGCTATGGATTTTAGCGACGGAGACGTAAGACCATCTCTATCCAATTGCTTATTGTAATTGCTTATTGGGTGGAATCTCATGTGGCAATTGCTTTAAGCAATTGCAAGGATGTGGGACTTATTGCTTATTTAGCAATGGATGCTTATTGTAATTGCTTATTGGGTGGAATCTCATGTGGCAATTGCTTTAAGCAATTGCAAGGATGTGGGACTTATTGCTTATTTAGCAAGATTGCTAAATAAACAATCCTTCTTGCAATGCCACATAAACAATTGGACCACACATTTATGCACTCAAAATTTTTTTTTTTCTCTCTTTCTTTTCTACCCACTTTGAACACACAAATTGTTAAACTTGATGTAGTAGGTCCCATCAATTGCAATTGCTAACCTATTGCAGGGATGCAGGTGATTTGAAATAGTTGAAGTGAATAATTGCTAAAATTGCTAATGTGGCTGTAGGGTCCACTTATGAAATTGCTATCCTATTGCAGGGATGAAGATGGTCTAAGCCGCTACCGTTATCCTCTTTTAGGCCTCGTTTGAAACTTTCAATTCCAAACGTTGTATACCAAGTATAAATGTATTCTTAGTCGCTACCGTTATATTTGTTTAACCCTCGTTTGGAACTTTCGATTCTAAACATTGTATTCTGAGTATACATTTTCGATTCTAAACATTGTATTCTGAGTATACATGTATTCTGCTAAATATAACGTTTTGCGATTTATTTTAATCACAAAATTCATGTATATAGAATGCATGATGTATTTATAATACATAGAAAATTATGTATATTTAATCTTACCTTTTCGATGAGATTTAGTATCCATAGCTCATTTCATATACAATTCATGCATTTTTCTATGTTTTCCAAGCAAAGAATTCTTAAAAGTACAATTCATGCATTTATAGTATATTGTATACACAATCTTTTTACACATATTCTTGTAAATAGTAAATACACTATTTCTAAAAATAAGGTTCCAAACGACCCCTTAATTTTAATTTTTGTTATGATATATTTGTCTCTCAGAAATTTCAAAGGATTCATTTTCGTAGCATGGCCCAAACGAACTTTGCAGTCACTTTCTGTAGCATATTCTTTTTACACAAATTTCAAAGGATTCATTTCCATATCATGACCCAAACGAACTTTACAGTCACTTCTACACATGCACAAACTCTCAAAAAGACCAGAGACAACTTATCTTACAACGCATCACGGGCATGTTACGTGTCACATTTTGGTGAATGATAGAGAGGAAGATTAAGAAAAGAAGAAAGAACAAAATCCGAAGAAGAATAATAGAAAATATATATTTGTAAAAGAGAAAATATTCTCTTTAATAGTTAGAACAAACCTCGTGTATCCTTCTTCATGCTGAAAATATAACCTTTAAATTTCGAGAAAAATCAGCCTCCAACAAGACTCATTGTTTACATTTTTTCTTCTCTACCTTCTTCAACCTTAACCAAGTTCTAATATACTAAAGCCTAAGGCTAATCTAAGATAAAAACTAGGGAGATTGATGACGCTTCCCTTGGTTTTAGTTAGCCACTAACACTCATAAAACCCACTTCTAGCAATAATCAATCCTAATTCTAATGAACAACTAAATTGAATAACATAAATATATTAGGGTAAATTCCAGAGAGCAGTTTGATAACCCTTCATCTCAGTCAAATCTCAGCGACTCAAATTAGCAGGGCCGAAAGACATGCAAATCGGCGGATTAACCTTCAACAGCGAAAGAACCGCCGACGGTATAGTCCATATCCCGTCGCCACATATCAACCCAGAAGCAACAGCCCCTGCATAGTCCTCCGAATCCTTCCGATTCACTCGTTCCCACACGAACAGTATCACCGTCCCCACAAACATGTCCACTGCGAAGTAAGCTCCGATATAGAACGGGACCGCCATTGCCATAGGAATGGGAATGAACTGGGAGATCTTCTTAGGAGTGACGTCTTTGAGCAGGTTTATAACAAAAGCAGCTGCGAGGGAGAAATAGGATATGGCCAGACAGTTCCTGGGGAGCTGCGACAACCCTTCCACACCAAGTATCGCCATTTCTCTGAATATGACGGCGTAGGGTGCCTTGTAGGGCCCGTCTGGTGCACCAACATCGAAAGTCGACCAAAACATGAAGAAGGTCAACGGGGCGATGATGCAACCCATGGCTGTTCCAATCAGTTGGCTGACGAACATGGATTTGGCAGAGGATAAGGTGAGGTATCCCGTTTTGAAGTCCTACATACAGAGGGTGGTTAACCAGAGTCGTCAGAACGCTTGCTTTTGGGTTATGACCGTTAAGGCAAACCTGAAAACCAAAACCGGATAGCAAGCCTTACCTGCATGAGATCAGCAGCAGTCGAGATGATGGACATCATGACTCCACAGGCGGCTAACCCGCCAACAACACCGCCATTAGGGCCAATTACCGAGGCAACGACAAAGAGGCCAATTTTGGCATAGGTGGCGGTTAGGTTACAGTCTGTTAGCCCTGTGCCGTAGGAGTTGCAGAAGGCGAGAGCTGGGGCGAGGATATAGCAGGAGAGGACAAGGTACCATTTTAGAGGTGGGAAGATAACCTGCATTGTGACAGTTGAGATTGCGGCTAAGCAAACGTATCCAGATGCAGCGAACCATGTGGGGATTCTGTCTTTCAGAAATACTGAGTCTCTTTGTTTTTGCTGTAGTAGTAGCACTTTTGAAGTCTCCTCATCTGGGATGTAAGGATAGACACATATTTCCTTCAAGTCAAAATATGAAGCTTCAAACTGTTTCCTTCAATTCAAAAGATCAGGCCTGCGCCTAAGTGAACAAGTCGCTTTGTAGAGACAATCAGAATCCTTACCTTGAATCTCGGTGATAACAGGAAGCTTGTGCTCTTTGGTGCTTTTATTCAGCAATTCCTTGGTACTAACATAAATAATTTTAACTAGATTATAGAGTCCATCCCCGAGAATAATAGCAATAGGTATGAAGACCTGCAAACAAAAACGAAACATGAATGAACATCTCATTCCAGAAATGATTTCATGACAAAGAATACACTGTTGAAAAGGGTAAGTTGGGTCTTCTAGAAACCACTCGTGTCTTAACAATGGACAGAATCTCTGTTCATGAAGCCTGAGAAATGTAGAACGAGACAAGAGACTCGAGCTGTTTACTGCCGTACCTTATATCCATAAAGCCCCTTGAAATCATTGCCACCGAGGTCAGCTGGATACCAGTCACCAGATTTTTCAGAGATGAAGGGCCACAGGAAGCCCCAAGAGATGATGGCCCCCAAAAGACAGGAGACGTTAACTATGTGTGGACAAATAAGACCGCATCCAACATAAGTAGGATTGAAGTCGAAGTAAAACCTGCAAGAGTTGAAGTCAAGTAAGAACAACACTGATGCCCAAATAGACGAACTGTTTAGTCCCGTCAAAATTAGGAAAAAGTTGCAGCAACTTACGAGTTCTTGAAAAGCGTGAGATCAAGACTTGGGAATTTGCCAAATCCACACGAGTCTCCGACACCACTGAAGAACCATTTGAAGCAGCTCCATACGAAACTCATGCTCAAGTACTTCCCAAGACACTGGACTTGCTTCCTGTAATTCAGTGGAAGGGTAAAAAAAGAAAGAAAAGCTAAAAAGCAATTACTGAATAGTGAATAGTAATTGCAAAACTCACCCAGCCAGCTCAGCTCCATTGTCTGTATGGAAACTATTGATCAACATTGCCGTAGCAGTCCCACTTGGATAGGTAAGCTTGTAATCCATTACCATAACCTATCATCAAAATAACTTGAAATACGTAAGAGAAGAAGCCGACCATCAACCTAACCATAATTTGGTGCCATGCAGACCATAACAAGTCACGCAGTAAACATTTAGCATCCAAACGAACAATTTAGCCATTTAGTCATCTTCCAATTGAATCTAATCACTACAGATAGAACAGAGTAAAAACAGAGAACACAAGGTTTAAAATGACCAAAACATTGAATCATTTCATCAGTAACCACATTCACACTTTAAGCTCGAATGGTATGCTGAATTGGGAACTTCAACTTCTCCGCATAACATAACGCATATTAGCAAACATTCAATGATGACAGTGTTTGAAATGGATGACGGAGCTACCTTGCGGAGTGGAACCAAGCTAAAGAGCCCGAGAAAGCTGACCACGAACATAAACCCAATCATCCATCCTAGTCCAGGGTTCATTACATCTTCCGGCCGATTGCCAGGATAATCCTTCCCAATCAATTCATACGTCTTCTCGTCCAGAGCTATCAAGTAGGATCCAAATCCACCTACCAACCATTATCAACAACGTCAACAATCAACACTAGGAAAACCAAAATTCAAAGCCGGAAGTAGGCAACCACGAAGAAGCTATATACCGCTGACGGCGAGGCCGTAGATTGCGACAACGCAAGTCTGGATCACCGTGTTCTCCTGCTTGGTGAACGAAGCAACGCTGAACCCTAATTTGGACATCACTCCAGTCCAGGACTTGACAAAGAAGAACCCGAGTAGCCCGGCAGCGACGTTCAGCGAGGGGATGATTCCGACCGTGAGGTTGAGCTTGTGCGTGATGACGCAGAACAGTCCGCCCATCAACGCGCTCACGACAAGGGCCCGGACCGTGATCTGCTCCTTCCACTCCGGCACCCGCTCGACCGGGACGGCGCCGGCGGAGTCCAGGAGCAGGGATTCGGATATCTCGGTCCCCATTGCCGAAATGGCGGCGGAGGTGGTTCCTTTTTTTCTTCGGGAAGATTCAGATTTAGAGACAAAGCGAGAGATCTGCAAAGGAGGAGGAAGAAAAGGGATTCCATTGGGTTTGGATTAGGTGTTGAGCAATATCCCGCAACTGAGCATCCGACTCGTGGTGAGAGACTGAGAGCCGAGCCGTCAATTGAGAGAGGAAGCAGTAGGTAGTTAGGAGAGCCTGATCCGTAACATCTGCAATTGCGGCCAAAACCCAAAATACATGGTCCATTAAACCGTATCGGATATCGTACTCGAAAAATTAGCAATATGATATTTTATGATAAAACAGTAGTTTAATTGTAGTTCAACCGTTAGACCATTATATATCGCTTATTAGTTTAGCCTCCAATATTAATAGTTTGTGGTTAAACCGCCAATACGGTACGATTTCATAGACCATGCCAAAAGGATGATCAATTAATTTATGCATGGGAGTGTGTTGACGGGGATTTTTTCGCATTCATGCATGGGCGATGGATTTAGCGACCGTGACGTGAGCCGCTACCGTTATCCTCCTATAATTTTATTTTGTGAGGATATATATAGTTTTTTTTTTTGTGAGGATATATATAGTTCACTGGAGTTTAAAGTTTCAAAGGCCCAAAGCTATTTCGTCAATTCTGGGCGGCCCTGGCATCCTCGGGAACGTAAACGGGTTCACGTCCCTCGAGAATGATAAGCTTGGGCCTTCAGCCAGCATATAAAGAGAGCCATAAACGATCCATGTCCTATAAACCGGCCCAACGTGGTGCGCATAGCCATGCAAGTTCAGTCACGGTTTCCCTTGCGACAGACGTGAGAGGTGCTGGTGTGTTTCTGTTATGGTTTACCAACAGTTTGTAAGTGACTACAATATGTAAGATAGTTGATTGCTTACCTTTGTCTCTTGACGGTGCCACGGTGGGGTTATACATTGATTTCATGGTTGGCAGCTTACATCTTCAAACGCAACATGCAGGACGTACACTTTCAGTAACATATATCCTGATTTGACCCCAAAGAGAACCGTCTTAAATTAAAAAAAACTGTAAACAAGAGCTATGCCTAATTGAGAGAATTTCAGGTATTAACCTATCTCGGCTCGAATCGTATTAAACTGGAATACAAACTGGTAAACAAATAGTTTTTGAAGAGACTACCCAATGGGCATAAATGCTTTTGGAAAAAAAGGAGGCGAAATGATAAAAAAATTCATTCAACTATACTACCAATTCTTCAGCACATAACAAATGCATTATCTATCATTGAGGAAGGGACTAGGCAATGGGCAGAAATACAATCCTTCAACTTGCACGGTAGTTGTGCATTTGCGGGTGGATGGTGTTCTATGTCCTTATTCCCAAGAGTATGGCACTAAAGATTCTTGTTTTCTTTCCGCTGGCTTGTGTGCTATAGCCTGTAGGGGAGTTGTTAGAGCAGGTTCCCAATGGGAACACCTCAGGGTGTAATCCTCTATTTTGCATGATTCACATTTGAGTTGTTGGTCAAAACTTTCAAAATGCTAAAACTAATAATAAAGATGTTGCATAACCAAAAATCAATCTTATCCAAGTCACTAAACTGCTTTCGGATCCATCTTTATCTAACTCACTTAGCTCTTTATAAGAAGAAGAAAAGCGCCACTGAACTATACAGTACCTTGCAAATAGGTTAGTACCATGGACTTAATTACATATCTCAATAGAGAATTCAATTCTAATTTCCATACTGAATATATGACACCACAATTTATCATGTGATGTGATAGAATGGAGCATAAAGTTAACTGGAAATTTTCTTTTGGTTCAATCAGGAAACTAATTAAAACTAAAGGAGATTTCTATATATACTTTTCCCATATCAGTATCATATCCTATGCTAGTTCTCGAATGGTCTCAAAGGCCTAATCCTAAGATTTTGTACAACAACTTATATTTTAAGAACACAATCATATCAATAATTGGCAAGAAGATGAACTTAATTTAAGGCTGCCATGTATCTTGATGGTTCAGCCAAGATAGGTAGACCCTCCGTCAATGACACTTGTGACCATTTGCTACGACTACCATTCCAGTGCTAACCACCATAATGGAATGCATTGCTTGAAACGTCAATAAAAATAAAAAATCCTAAGTGGGTTAGAAACTAGTGATTGTTGATGTGACCACAAACAGGAACTCCTGTCTCTACTCCGAAGAGCAGATTCAAGGCGTGTGCCAATAAGGAATGGGCAGAAGAACCCGCCGCGATCTTAGGTATTCGCGCGAGGGTTCCACGTGGACTCTACTCAATCAATCAACACCGTTAAAGTCATTCCACACAGAAAACATTCGAGCTTATTCAGACATCAGCCCTTACCTACATGACTCGCAAGTTTGGACGCTTTGTGTTTGGCTTGGTTTGGTGACTGTTGTGTTGGAGAAGTAATGCGTAGACTATACTACCTTTCCCTTTATATATACACTAGGTAATGGGGATCATAATCATTGGGGGTGTGTTTTCCTACCGTAAAAATGCATGTATTTGAAATGAGAAAACTGTCTAAACCAGACTGAAAATTCCAGCATTGAGGGAAATACATGCATTTGAAATGAGAACATCATCTAAATCTGTGGAATTTAAAAAGGGTAGCATAGAATAAATGAAGGGAAATGACAAAAAAAAAGCATGACAACAAAACAAACAACTGTATGTCATATTACCTGGAAACCGAAATGCATGCATTCTCAAAATATACCAGAAGGTTATTGAAGGCCCTTAGCTATTTGCCACCCCACTTCTAGTTATGTCTCCTGCACCTGCAGCTGCAGGTACACAAACTTTGAAAATTACATGTCTACTTCCAGTCCATACTGACCATTCATCATTGTTTACTATACAACCTGCATTTCTCTATTTCACCAGCCGACCACCTGTTATATACAGCCCCAAGCCATAGCCACTATCCCTTTGTAGTTTAGTGGTGCGCCTAAAAGAGCCATTCAAAACGTGGCAAAACTACTTCGTTCTCTAGCTCCCAGTTCTTTTCCTCAAATGTAAGATCCCTCATCGACAAGGTTAGGTTGTGACAGTTTGCGGTCAGGGTTGTCTCTCCATCATAATGTGTTTTTGCAATAATGCAGTTCCATGGTTACGTTGCTTCACTTAACAACCCATCAAATCAAATCAAATCCGTATTATTCTGTACGATTAGTTCCCGCGTAACCATATTTTTTCCGAATGGGAATGGTAGGGTTCTCACTTCTCATGTTCATTCTCTAGAATCTACCCAATAAGGCACTTCAACTCGATAGCAGATTTTTTGGACCCATTTAACTTCTTTATGCAACCTGGAACTGCACCCAATGCAATATTTTCCTAGCAGATTCTTGAAACTCTTTAAACTAATTCAATGATGCTTTAAAGCAGTGGTCTATTGGTCCACAGGGAACTGTGAATGCAGAGCAGATATCAAAGCAATGTGTAGCAAGTTACTATAAGCAATTTGTGTTTACCTTGGACTATCTCTCGGCAGAAAAGGTTTCAGTAAGAAAGTAGCAGACAAACATCCGTAGGTCATTGCAATCATGAAGCAAAGTTGATAATCATGACGAGTATAGATTCTAATGCGGAAAAAAATAACTAAATAGCAAACTAAGCTTAACATTTTTCATGCTAGTTAATGCTCTCCATTGTTCAAATGGGACATGGTGTTTCCCAGCAAGCTTAGGGTAGACAGTTTCTGCCACTTCAGTACATGGCAGCTCAGAGGGCTATGGTCTGTCCAGCATATACAACGAGCATACACCAGTTTTCATGAGGGGCTGCCTTTCGATTAAATGAGAGGAAAGGGAAAGGAGGGCACCTGATAATTCAAGACTTTAGCTATGGCACTACAAGACAGACGTACGAGTAATCAACCTAGTGATTCCATGACAAGCACCAGCTACATTTCTAAGGAAATGGAAACAATGGGGAAAGGCACTTTATAGTTGCCAAAAGGGCAAGGAACATGGAAGAATTGTACAAGACATCAGACAAAGGAAAGAAAGAAAACTCACTAATTAGGCCCATCCTTTGGAGTACTGGAACTTCCTGAAAATTAGTTTACCTGACAGGGAGAACATGATCATGTTAGAACAGGTGTCCCATGAACAAATACCTGCAAGCATCGAGACAACAAAGACCATTACAGATGACATGGACGTGTTCAATCCTATGTACACATCAGGCAAAAGTGAAGAAAAAGACCCAATGAGTCACGACATAAGGAAAAAAGGTAAGGACGACAGGGAAGGATATTGAGCACTGGGAAAATGATGATAATCATGAGGGTATACAACAACAGAAGATAGTCAGTTCCCACTTGAAATGGTCTGACTCTCAACATTTTCACAATAGAAACAGAGTTATTTCATGCAAGAGACACAAAGTGCAGAGACAAAAACTATGTTGCAGTTAGAAGTACGTGAACAGAAGCATGACTTGCCAAAATGGCTCAGATAACTTATCTTTTCACTTTATGGTGTCCCCAATAAATGAACGTATCATGCAGTAATAATGAGTACTGACCAGCAAATATCTGTTACCATGGGGAAACTAAACTTGTCACTTAAGAGTTGGTTTCTTTTGAGAGAAAAAAACTGTCACGACTATGGAGACTGATCATTCATACCCATGTCAAAACTTGCTAATAAGATCCACTCAACCCAAGGTTTAAACCATTTTAAAATTTAGGCTCCTAATAAGAACTTCTCCAATTAACAAGCCCTACTGAAGTTATATATCCTTGAAATATGAGTCTTAATCTAGGTTTCAAAGGAACATGTCCTCACAGCTATTACAGGCAACCTGTTTCTCTTTTTATTTATTCTTTTCTCCTTATGTCTACTTAGTTTAAACATGCATGGAAATGCCTAAATTGATGAGCATCAGGGATATCATAAAGGGGATAATTAGTTTAAATAAATGAGTAAAAGTATACTAAATATTGATTAAGCCTCCTGACTTAAGGGTTGAAGTTCAATAAACCTAGACTTTCTACCTGAAGATTCAGTGGAGTAACTTAAAAGTCTGCAACCAAATGCATGATTTACCAGTTTCTATGACAGCACAAGCGTATTTAGCACCAAGTACAGGTTAATATAACTTAAGCATAAAATGAAAAAAACATAAGCGTACTTGTTGCAAATAAATGAGCACAAATATGTGATTATGTTATCATTATTCACCTCGTTCGCATATCATGTTCACAAGCAAAATGTACTCCGCAAAACAAAACCAAATGCAACACCACAATTTACTACATCGATTAGGATTAATTTGACTGAAACCCATATCACATGCACAGCATTACCTCACAACTTGCAGTACTCCCAACTACTCCTTAATTCTTCTACTTGATTTGATATTGACAACGAACAGCCAACCAAAAACTTGTATGCATCTATGTGTTTTTCTCTGCCTATGTCTGTGTCAGACCCTTTAAGCACCAACTGAATACGCAATCATAGAGGAGTCATTATTGAAAAGATCCTCGTATGCTGGTCTTGGCTATCCACATCTCTACAGCATCTCAAATTTCTCAGCATAACAGACATATATATTCATCTGTCCATATGGCCAAGAAAGCAATCTAAGGTCAGACCATTGGGTGAAAGAGCAAAATGAGGGTAAGTACTACTTTTATCTATGTTCTTGGTATATCAAAACATGATTGATCCTAACACTTAGGTTTCATTTACTTGTTGCAGTTCCTTGGTTGGATGCACGATAAACTTCGGCAAACGAAAGCTGAGCATTTCAAGGATTTTCCAATAGGTAAAGAAACTTTCCTTTTACTACTGTTTATTTCTAACCACCATGGTACATGTGCTTTACCATCAAGATAACCCCAACATATATCCATTTAGCAATGATATTTCATCGACTGGCCTAATGTACAAATCTGTATCATTCTCAGGAGCAGATTCGACTTCAGGACTAAATTATCCAGAGATGTATTTTGCAATGAAAATGGCATTTTCTCTCAAAACAAAGTGAAACCTTTTGAAGTTTCTTAGAGTGGCCAAAACCCTACATATGTGCGCTTGCATTATCGTTCCTAGAACAGTATGTTTGTGCATGTAAGTACGTGTATGAGCTTCTGTGGTATTCAATATTAGGCTTTGTGTGCATCAAATAGAATTCAAATGTCTAACTAACTCCTCAAAGAATGCTTTAGCTAATAGATGGGCGTACTTGTATCCTATCAGTGAATTTAAGACAAATACATACCCTGTTCCAGATTCTGTTAATTTTCTCCAATACTTCATCTTCAGGAAGCTGTTGTACTTGCCTTTCAGCACCATCATCACTCGATGACAAGTTCTCCCCTGTAAGACCAAGTTCTGAATCCAGAATCAGGCACAACACTTTGAGTGAGCATACCCAGAGACTCGAAGCCTATTCCTGTGGGACTGAAATTGCAGGTATTGGTGTCACCAACGAAGGTGACACTGTTTTTCTCAGCTCTGACCTTTTCCATGGCTTTTTAGCCATTGGAACTCTTGGTTCAGAACAAATCACCAGCAGCCCTGCAACACCAACATTCCCCGCATCTTTGGAGCAGGATAACCTTGCAGAAGAAAATATAGAAGTGACAGAGAACGACCTGAATCTCATAAGAGATGAGCTAGAAAAATTTCTAGAGACTGAGGCAGAAGAAGTACAAGGTACTGATGATGCATTGGCTAGAAGCAGTTATGTTAGCATTATCACACTCAGTGGCATGCAAGTAGAGGAAGCTGGAGGCAATGAAAAGTCAACAGTAAGTCCACTGCAAGGTTATCTATTTGGGTCGTCCATTGAATTGCCAGAAACAAGAGCAGAAAAAAATAAGGAAAAGTTATCACTTGGAGAGATTTTCCGCAGGACGAAACTTACTGATGACGACACTCCAATTGAGATGCCTCCCAAGCAAGACAAAAAATCTGTCAAACTCCTGCTCAAAAAGATACTGAAGAAGATTCATGCTCCTCCAAGAAAAAGAACTTCTCAGGATGATGCTGACAAAACTATCCCCACCAAGAAAAAAACTAACAAGGTGTGTACTCTTGCCTAACATATAAGACAAAGAGCTAGTGGGAAAAAACAATTAGCCATCTGACTGACAGCATTGAATTGGGAAGAACTAGGCATATGGATGTTGTTTACTTAAGGACATTGCACCAACAACCAAGACAAAGGGCATCAAGCAGAATATTTAGGTTGCAAATACATGACTCAATCGTAGAATGAGATGCTTATATTTGAAAATTCATTTTGTTGATTGTCTTTCCACTTACATGTTCAGAAAGATCATAACATAGTTGTGCCTCCACCATATCGCATTGCCTGACTTTTAATTGAAAGTTAGAGAACACATGCGAAATGAGCTGACAATATCACTGGGTATCTAACAACTAGAAGTTTTGTGTTCATGGAGAAGGGGAAAAGAGAGAGGTTTACAGAGATGAAACGGTACTTCAGAAGACATGAGCTCTTCATGAAAATGCAGAATATCTACCTGACTAATTTATCTATTATGTTTCCATCCAAATTTTCAAATTTCTCCATGTTTGGCATTCAGGTGCTTAAGATGTTCTGTCGAAAAGTGCACCCTGAGGACTCTACGGGTGCAAAACACTCAACCACATCCTGGGTGGAGCGACTAAAGGCCAGGCATGACACTAATCCGAAGTACAGTTCAATTCAAAGGACTGCCAATTACGAGAACAGCTTGAAAGAGCCTGAGTTTGGTCTCAGTAGCAGCCAGTCTAGCGGAAATACAGAGCACTGGATTAGAACTGATGCTGACTGTGAGTGCTAGCTTAATCATAGCATGAAAAGCATAACATTCTTAGGTGCAGTCAAGTACTGAAAATTATATTATTTTTCACCCATGCATAAGATTACGACCATTCATTAAAAGTTTTGCAATACTCAAAAGTTGCAATCACAGTCAATGTGTCGACTGCACAACTCACTAGAATATGGAAAAGTTTTACATACTTGCTCTTTTTTTTGGGTTATAACATATAGTCATTAGTATTGATGAACATTTTGGTGTTGCAACTGCAGACTTAGTGCTGGAGCTTGAGCAAAGGAACTAAGACCATCAAGATGCATCAGATTGGGTTGTATACTTGTATTAATCTGTGTGTTATTAAGTATTTGTTAGTGATTGAGCTGTGATGTACTGTACTAAAGTGAATGGGAAGACAGGAGAGCAAGGACATCCTTCCTCTTTATATTGTAAAATAAAAATGTTACGCTCGAGTTTATATGAAAAGCAATTGTCAGGTGTGATTCAGAACAATGCTTTGCTAACTGCAAGTTCCATTCGAAACTTTTGATCCTCATTTTTTCCTAACAGATAAGTACCCCACCTCAAAAAATAAAACTCAGATGCCAAGCACATTCTTAATTCAAACAATTGGTACAACACAGCCCTGGCAAAGGATTTACAGTTACTGTGCTAGTGTGAGGAAACCATGGATACTACCAATAAACTCCCTTTTAAATGCTAATCAAGAAAATAATTATGGGAATTCCATTATATAACAGAACTGAAAGAAACAATCTATTTGATTTTTTTTTTCTTTTTGTAAGTCGCCAGAGATTGAACTAAAGCGACACCATGGAGATAAAGATATAAAGAATCGCACGAGCAACAAGATCATGGATCGGTTCTCCTAAATAACTATAACAATAATAATAATGCACTGCAAGGAATTTTTTGGGGATCACAAATGAAAATACAGGGTTACAATATAGAATGTGTGGTGTTGTGGTTGAGGCATGTGAAGCTCCTTCAGAATCTTCCCTATTTATCCTTATAGAGCCAGGATCATGAACCAGTCGGACCAGTTAATCAATCAGCCCTAGATGCAACCTACGCACGCTCTCTCAATACACTGCCTTCTCGATTGATACCCAGTTCAATAAAAAGTTGAGTTTTGAATGGGATGCACAGTCTACATCAGAAGATTTGAGGTTGCCCATGTACTACCAATTCAAGTCAATGCATTGTCAAAGCCCATTGATGCCAATGGATTGCACTTATTACATTTCCTAAACATAAAGGAAAGAAATGTCAGGTATTCGAACCTTGAAGTTTGTCAGCTTGGTACTTAGTGAAGAACGGGAGGCTTCCTAGCTTATAATGGAAGAAGCTCCTTTTGGAGAAACCCTCCCATCTGCATCCTCCAAGAATGATCAACAAGCGAGGTGAACTCTCTGGAAGAATAAAGCATGAAAACTCAAAGATTCCATAAGCAAGTACAGGCTTGGAAAAAGAAGAATAATGAAGGGAATGCAATTATCTGCTAGGGGAGCTTAGCTCGCAACCTATTTGGAGAAACCAGCAGAACATAATCCCATCAAGAACAGGCCAAGAGTGAAAAGTCATGAACAAGAAATAGTGAATCACCCAAGTAACAATGAGGAAGGACTGAGAAGTATATAAGCAATACTGTCCCTCAGTGCATAACAGAAAAGAAAATTTTCCACTCACTTGAGGTCATGACTGACTACCAATACAGTTAACTCTTTCTTCAGATGTTTCAACAGCTTTACAACATCTGCCCGTGCCTTCCAATCTGGTGCAAAGGAAAAATTCACAGGAAAGGCAGCAGAGCATCTGAGAGACATATAATGACATGAGAATAACTCACATAACAAACATTCAATTCTTCGTACAACTATTTGCATGCCCCTTCGATTAATCATGGTGGAAAATAATTTCTCCCAAACAATAGACGAATTGTGGCTAATGATTGCTTTAATTAAGGTTGTTGACCATGATCATTTAAGAACCCCAAGTGAAGGTTGACTGAAGTAGCTAAACTGCCTCAGTAGTGATCTACCTCTCCCTTTCCAAAAAGAGAGGTTCAGAGACCAATAGATAGGAGCCAATGACCAGTCAAAGCCTCAAAGGATACATGTATCGCTGTGTTTATGAAGCAAAATGTAGAAAATCACTGAAAGGCTACCAAGGCAACCACATCCTAGATGACAGTGGAACAGTGGAATACAGCAATATTCACGTGTGCTAGATTATTCATTATCACAAAGCAAGTACAAATGTTATAGTTTTTGCATAATGAATACATACCAAGACCAGCAAGAGGCTCATCCAGTATCAATAGATCCGGTACTTGCACCTGAACATAAAAGAAAGGATAATCATTACTAAGTCATAGCATTACCATGACGAAATACATCAGGAATTAAATTCCTCAATACTCACTAATTGAATAGCTAGGGCAAGCCGGCACTTGTATCCACCACTCAGCGAGTGAGGATCTTTATCTAAAGAAATTCCATTTAGACCAACCTAATGTTCCAATTATTCAAAGCAAGATCAGCAAAAAAGAAAGAGAGACACTGCTCAAAATCACAACCAAAACCATTCATTTACCCAATTAATAGCCGTTTGAAGTTGTGAAACAAGCTGCTCCCTCACTTGAAGACTGCTTTTTTGCCTCGGCCATCCAAACGTAACTTCCTCTAGGATTGTATCAGCCACGAAATACCTAGCAGCAACAAGAAGGATTCGCATAACTTCTCCAATTTGACAGTAGAAATGCTTATCTCACAGCGAATGCAGGCGGCATACATCTAACATACAACAGGAATACTCAACAAGATACAACATTTAAACCCTATCTCACCCAATACCTCTCAGGAAACTGGAAGACTATACCGACTCTTTCTGGAGGAAGAGGCTTGGGAGAGTCACTATTTCGGCTGCCATCACTGTTGTACCTTTGGATGCCAATGGTACCAGAAGTAGGCTTGTTCAATCCGGCAAGAAGCTGCCACCAGAAAACCCCCAAAATCACTGACCACTTGTACAATCACAAATTTTAGCGACAATAATGAAACCTTTCTCCAAGAGTAGGAACCACATCATTTATTACCTGCAGAAGAGTAGTTTTCCCGCTACCGCTCTGCCCAAAAATCAAGCCAAAGCTACAAAAAAAAAAAGGCACAAAATGGAACCAAAATTTCTCTACCAGCAGGTAAACCAGAACAGGATCAAGTCCAGAAGTTGAAAATAAAATCATCAGTAGTACCTCTTTTCTGGGAGAGAAAAACTGACATCGTTCAGAAGGTCGAGCTCCGTTCCGGGAGGTCTATACCTAACATTTCTAACCTGGAACGAGAACGGAATGAGCGAAATTGAGCCCTCGGAGCTCTCCAGAATTGAAAGAAAAAGGAAGTATGAGAAGCTCACTTCGAAGCAAGAGTAGTCGCAGGAGACACTGCTTGAAACTCTTCCGATTCTGCGGAAATTCAGGCTTCTGCGGAGCAAATTCTCACCGAGTGAGAATCGAAATAACGAGAGTGAACGACTTTGCATTGAGAAAGTAAAGGTGAAGAAACTAAGGCTGGCTTACCCCCGGCGGCGAGAGATTGGTGACTGCGACAGGATCGATCCGATGCCGAGGAAGCTGGGGAGTGTTGGAGTGGAAGTGGCCGCCATTTTTCCGTGCGGCGGGAAGTTCAATCTGCTGCCGATTCGAGAAAGCACAATTTGAACAAAGCAAACGCGAGTAAGCTTCAGCAGTGGAATAGGATTTGCAAAATCAAATGATAACCACATTTAAAAAACATGGGCCTGAAGTAGTATGGCCCAATTCGAACTGGAGAAAGCCCAACCATTAGAATTTTAGAGATTCTTTTTACTAGAGTGGGGATGATAATTTCCATTGACCGACTTTTTTTCTTATATTTGGTTTACTTTAGGCTATTAATCCAATGTTTTGGAAGTGTAGGTTATTTTCATAATGGTAATATAGCTTTTTTTAATTGTTAGTGTATTACTAAAGGATTCGAAAATCAAATATTAAGGTTGAAGATCAATTACAATACTATTTGACTAAACAATTGTTCGCAGTTTTATAAATATATATAATTTAAAAGAGGATTATATTATTTTAATTTAAAATTTAAAATGCCGTGCCTAATTCGATACAAGCTGTAGGATATTCAGTTTCACATATTCATCAAGCTTATTTTTATGCCTTGAGCTTCTTCTTTTTTTTTTTTACCTCTATTTTTTCCGTTACCCATACATCATATCAAATTACCTACCAAACCATCATTATCTGTCTGCCTACGCTCTTCTTTCCCCTATATTTTCTGTCTTGCAAGTTGCAATCACCCATTACAAACTATATATTTAAAAAAAGAAGACAAACTCACAAATCCCTACATTGCACATGCTAATACTATTTCCATATTCTCAGGTAGAGAGACGGCAACTATTCAATTACGAGGAAATGACATGCATGCTTCGTTGTTAGAAACTGCAATTAATTTGACCATGATACATGCTTGCTCTAGAACGCTAGTGCCGATGGAAAGGAGATGGTCGAGGAAACATAGAAGAAGAAACAAACAACCACCATTAACTTGGACTTACTCGACTATTATTATAGCATAGGCCTACGGGCTACGGGGAACAAAACGGTGGTTCCTGGCTAATCAACTTAACTAATTATATAAGCTAAGTGATTAACCCAACGCTGGGGCCCATATGAACAGTACCTTTGAATAAGGCTGCAGTCTGAATTCAGAAGGTTACTATAATGGGTTTGACTATTTCACCATGTATCTTGCCATTCCTAGCTATTCAACAGGTTCTTTATTTTCCGGTATTTAGGCAAGGGTCAACTGTGTGGTCAATGAGAAGAGTGAAACTTCTTCCTCAATTGCATGGTAGTTATGTAATGGGGTTCCTAGTAAGTTTTTAACGAACTTCTCTTCCTCTTGACCGACGATTGAACAGTGGGAGATGAACATTAATAATCATAGTGTAGTACTTATAATATTGATTGGGAATGGTTGGATCGTTTTCGTTTTCTATAATTTCCAGCGTTCATGTTGCTTGTTGACGTTAGACCAAAGAGTGAGCTAGTGATCGTTTGATCACATCACATGCATACACGCAAAATGTCTGGTGGTGATGTTTTGGCACCTTTGGCTATATTCATGTTTCATGATAGTTAAGGAAATGTTTCTCGTTAGAGTGTTATTTGTCTCCACTACTTTATTGCTGGTAGGAATTAGGCAAATCACCTCCAGGAGTCCCTTCAATCAAAGTCGGAAAGCAGGAATCTTTCTGACTTTTGTATTTCTGTTTTGAGAAGGAAAACGGAGAGAAGAAGATGAACGTTAGTACTCATTCTTCTGGCCAACGTCTCTTATATTGTGAGAAAACGGCAGTTCCCTTCTCAAAAATTACGTCGTTTCACAAAACTCAAATTCAATTAATTATTCAAAATTAATTAAGTGCTAAGTGAGTAGTGTGATTTAATATCTCAAATAAAAGTTTTTTTTTTCAAAGAAGACATACCATTCATCAAGATACACAATTATATATCCATTAGTTATTGATAATGGGGTAATTTGACAAGAAAATACTCAAATACATAATTCAAATAAAAGATAAATGAACTCGATATTTTGGACAAAGACATCACAAACATTGGAAAATAATATCAGGTTAGTTGACTCTACCTAGCTATCCTTATCATTTTCGTCATACAATGCGCACACATGCCGTTTACTTACTCCTTTTTGGTGTTTTGGTGGTTAAAACATATTTAATGTCGTGGCTAAAAACTAATGTTAATTTTTTTTTTTGCATACAAGGAGGCAAAAGCCAAGAAAAAGAGAGGTTACATGGGGGGATGGGAGGAAGAGGAGGTGTCATGGCGGGACACAATCCGCCGCTCAAAAGAGACCCCCTGAATATCGTCCTGGAGAATGGTAATCACCCCTGACGGCGGGTGTGCAAGTGCATGTAACCCGAAGGGATAGACGAGACTGTGCTTCGAGAGCCAGTCCGCGACTCTATTCCCTTCGCGGTACACATGAACAATGCGCACCAACCAGTCCCGACTAATCCTCCTGCGAATAGCTGCTAACAAGGTGGCGTAAGGGTGCACCGGATCATGTCTGTCATTAATTAACTGGATGGCAAGCTGAGAGTCCGACTCGATCTCAATCTGGCGATGCCCTGATTTCCACGCGATATCCAAGCCATGAAAAAAAGCCCATAGCTCTGCCAAAGCTGCAGAAGCTTCGCCAATCATAGCCACAAAACCAACAATCCAATGCCCGACTCCATCCCTCAACACGCCTCCCGCCCCAGCCGGTCCGGGGTTACCATTTGAGGCCCCATCAATGTTTAGTTTCACCCATCCGTTAGGAGGCGAGCTCCAAGCAATGTCCACCACCCTCCGAGGAGCAGAGGCCCTCTTTCCGCACGGCAGCAAGGACGGGGCGTTCCAGGCTTCACTCCATAGCTTCACTTTTGCAAGAATCGAATGAGCCAAGGAAGGAGGAGTGAGAGTGGCTGAGATACCTTTAAAGCACATGTCATTTCTATTCTTCCACAGGAGCCAAGCGGTGATGCTGAAGAAAGTCGCCCACTCGACCCCTAAGTGCTTATCCGCATCCGTCTTTAGGTTCATCTTCAGCCATGGAACAGTATCTGCTGAGAAGAAGGCCTGCTGTCTACTGCTGGGCACCTGTCTAATCCAGAAATACGCTGCCGGGGGGCAATCCCTGAGGATATGAAGAATAGACTCCACCTGACCGTTACAACGAGGGCAGTACGGAGCGGCGACTATTCTTCTCGAGAACAGAAGCGCATTAGTCGCGATTCTGCCAAGACAAACCAACCACATGAAACACCGGATCCGCTCCGGAACGGGAAGGCTCCAGATGATCTTCCAGAAATTGGCATCGGGGTCAGGCTCCTGCGGGAGAAGATGCTGATACGCCGTCTTCGCCGTGAACCTTCCGGTGGAAGACAAACACCAGAAGAGAGTGTCCTCCTCGCTAGAGAGCTTATCCACCGCCACCCCAACAATTTTCTGCTGAATCCTCTGGGGGAGGAGGTCCTCGAACAGGTCGATGCGCCATTCTCCCTCCTCCGTCACCATGTCCGCCACCACCTCCTCGGTCCGCGAGCTAGGGATCTCTCCCACCACCAGATTCTTGAGAGGCTCCTGCAAAATCCAAGAATCATTCCAAAACTTAGTGGTATTTCCGTTCTTTATATTCCAAGCACATCCTTCCTTCAGGAGGGAGGAAGCTTTGGTAAAGCTTTTCCAGGTAAAGGAACTTCCCTGAACAGAACGGAAGAGGTCCAGATTTTCTTTGTTCCGGCAGTACTTATCTCTGATCACCTGCGTCCACAGCATGTCCTTCTCTTTAAGAAGTCTCCAACCACTCTTGGCAAGCATGGCCAGGTTGGCATTTCGCACAGAGCGGAGGCCAACCCCTCCTTGGCTCTTGGGCAAGATCATCTTCTCCCAACCAACAAGATGGAGCTTAGATCTTCCTTCCTCATCTCCCCAGACAAAATTCCTGTTAATGCGATCAATAGAAGCACAAACACCCTTAGGCAGTAACTCCGTGTGCATATGATAGGTGGGAAGAGAGGAAATGATGGACCTGGAAACAGTAAGGCGGGCGGCCAGGGATAACCGCTTAGCCTTCCATGGCGCCAGCTTCTTCTGGATGCGCAAGAGAAGGCCTTGATATCTCCCTGAAGTCACCCGGCCATGAATTCCATGAATGCCAAGATATCTCCCGAGCTCCGCCTTTAGAGGAATCGCAGCACGCTCGCTCAAAAGCCGAGCCTTCGACCTATCAAAAACTAATGTTAATTAGTAGCGTGTAAGAGGACCATGCGATTCTATTTGACTCAAAACTAATTGATGATGAATAAATTATTGACTTTAATCAGTTGCTCGGTATCCAGATTCTTCAATACACGGATTGATTGACTACACGTATAATCCAAAAATATTGTGCATTCCTATTTTGACTCTTTGTAGAATAAGGACAATGATATGGGACGAGTAAGCATAAACGACATTATTTAGTATATTTATGGTTACTTAAACTAAGCATGTAGAGTGGTGGAAAGTGCAGATAATGGCCACTGAAAATGTAAAATTTGAAGACCGAATGGTGGTATATTTTGAATTTTTTTAATATAATTAAAGACCAATTGTTTGTGCAAGACGATAATTATATTACTGTCGTATATTAGAATATTATTGTCAGTGTTTCTACAGGTTGAAGAATCGGAGGATCGACAGAGCAATAAAATGAAAGCAAGAAACGAAACAAGACACATGGATTTACGTGATTCACTAATACGATGTGTCTTAGCTAATCTACGAGCAGGAGAGAGCCAGTTTCACCGTACTTTGAGGATATACAGATTACAAATGAGAATGAGAAGTATTTATAGTTTTCTCCATGTGGTCCAACTCTAATTCAATATATCTAGTAAAGAATAATTAAGGTCATCGAGACCTGTAACTTCCAGTCGTCGCCCGATAGTCCAATTCAAATCATATCAACAAATATAATATGTTATTTATAAATTGTGAGATCTTCTTAGTAAAAAGATACAAGAATCTAGATAGCAGGGCATTTAATGAAGACATTATATTTTTTTAATATATACATCGACAATGATATGATATGACGAAACTATAAAAAGAACAATGCAGTCGCGTGTGGTGAATGAAGTTATGAACCTAGTTACATTTTTTGGTTGTTCACCAAAAGGGTTACTTATACGACACGAAAAAGGTTCATATATGCAAACCAATTACCGAAACAAATATTTTAATTGTTTGAATGTCCATTTTCAATTTGTGGTTTATTTGGGTTCCTTCTATGTATCTTTAAGTTAAACACTCGTGTTTTCCTTATCTAATTATGTGGGAATTGCAACGTGAAAGTTGAGATTTTGGTTCAAAATTTTTCATATTTTGTGAAATTCGAACTGTTTTGTTCAATTTTCACGTTTCATACTATATTCCCATATGCATGAGAAGTTTAATTCAAATCTCCCGGTTTCAATTCTCTCCTCTAATTGAACCATAAATTCATTTTTCCATAATACTCGTAACAAATAAGAGTAAAGATTAATTTTCTTCAAATAGGTCGTACAAAATTAAATATTTCTCAGCATGATGGCTAATGATCCGCTCTTGTCTTTCCCATAGGAAAAATAAAAGAGAACGAAAGCATTTTCTGGGAAAAGTTGCATGCAATTTCCCACTGTCTCCGGCGTTTCAAAGGTGGATAGTGAAGACAAATTAAAAACGTCCCGCGGGTATTATTCTACCTAATCTGCAATGGGCGTATTACCCGACCTACGGTAGCATGGGATGGGACATGAGTATCTATTTTCGATCCGCCCTGTTATTGACCCATTTTATTCCAATTTCTTACCGTATCTATACATATTTCTCCTATTTTGACTTTTCTTTAATTAGTTAGAGTCGATATTTTAACTTGTTAGACTCAATTATCCATTCTATTATCATTATTTTTCATTAATAAAGTATTTTCCCCTTCGTTTCATCGTAAAAAATAAAATTTACATGTATCTTTTTCAAATAATATATAAAAGTGGGTTGACTGGCCCCATCCCATCCTATAACCACGCGGCTTTTACCTGCCCGACCCACAATAGCGTGAGACAGACCATGAGTATTGAGGTACCCGCCCACCCTCTTGTCATCACTAAAGGTGGATCCATGTGTGGTGGAAGAATTCATAGAGCAGCCAGACACAAGACAAGCACAAGACCCCGCCACCCACAAGTTCCCTCTTCCGACCACCATCTCTCATTCATCATTTTCTTTGGGAAAGTGCAATATAAGACATAATGGGTCGGCAGAAAGCTAAAATATCTCAATCATCATATAGATTCTCATTTAGATATGTGTTTCGTAAAAACCGTGGAGATTAGTCATTTAGCTCGTTTGGTTTTGGTGATTGTTTGGTTGTAATAGTTATAATGCATGCATTGTCCATAATGCATTGTTTTTTCGAATTTTCTGCACAAACAATACATGTATTGTTTGCTTGATGTGATGAAAACTATCACTCATTCGAATTTTCTGCCCAAACAATACGTGAATTGTTTGCTTGATGTGATAGAAACTATCACTCAAAATGAGTGATAGTAATATCTCTACTAAAACTTGAAATTGTTGAGGTAGTTTTTAGGGGATTGTTTGATTCCTTTTTTGTTCCAATTATACCCCTAGTCATATATATATGTTCTGATAAAAATAAGGGCAAAAGTGACATTTCTCACAAAAGTAAAAGAACTATCACCAAAACCAAATAATGCAAAGTACATTACATCATTTTCCTTAATTGAAATGACTCATGCCACTGGATGCACCCTAAATAGATGATAAATTGATAATCATCAATGATAAAAGATATCACTAATAGAGGATAATCATGAAACCACAAGATAATGCCTCGGATTATAATATCTGGTTAGCAATTATAGCATGGAACAACATTCTTTTAAAATTTGTCTAAATATCCATTTTCCCCAAATTCACTAATGAATTCAAACTATCCGTAATTACCAAACACTTTTTGGCAATACCAAACACTTCTCCAAAAAAAGATAAAAATACCAAACACAGTTTCCTTTTATTTTTCATTTTCGTGGGCTCTATATTCACTTTGATAATGAAACATACAAATTACAAACACAGCCTTATGCCGACACTCACATGGTTACGACGACCACCACCCTATATATATTTCGCCCCATTGCAGTTCCTTGGAAAGTCTGACGGTTACAGACACTTTCGCTACCACAGCTAACGCGGTGGAGCTCCGGACCTCTACGTTACCCTTCACCACTCACCAGTCGAGAAAAGCCCAATCCCTCGCCATCATTTTTAACAAACAAGAACAATCAGCAGCAGTGGGGCGCTCGGCGACGAAGGAAAGAAAATCTGTTTCCAGTTGCGACTCGTCGGAATTCCTCTGAGCTACCCATTTCTCATTTCTTCGTTACCCAACCTGGGAAGCTTCTGATTTTCGAGTAAAGCGAACGAATTTTGCGACTCCCCGGTTTCAGAGGTATCAAAATTTTGTTTGGTTGGTTTTGCTTCTTCATCTATTTTGGAGGATTGAATGATTCTGATGCTTGCTGTGCTCGACTCTGCCGTTTGTTTGATTGCAGAGAGAGATAGAGAATGGGGACACCAGTGCCAGTGAAGAAAGTATTGCTGACCTCCAATGGCGACGAGGTTTCCCAGAGTATCGCCTTCCAATTAGCAAAACATGGTTGCAGGTAAAGCATTTAGGTGTCTGAATTATCAATTACAATAGTGGGGTTCTAACTTCATATCCACGTTCGATTGAAATGATTCCACCAAGATTCAGCCTTTTCCGAATTTAAATATAAACAGCAGTTTTACAGTTGGCTCTTGTTTGCTAGAGATTCTGATTCTTTCATTCTTTAATCGCTTGTTTGATTATGGATTAGGTTGGTTTTGATGGGGGATGAGAGCTGTCTAAGGCATGTGAGTGAGAAGATAATGAGCTCCATCAATGGTGCTGCCACAGTAGAAGTGGTGGGGGTGGATATGGAAGATGAAAGAGAGGAAGCTTTTAAAGAAGCTGTGGGGAAGGCTTGTGGGATTCTGGGGAATCTGGATGCTTTTGTCCATTGCTATTTCTATGAAGGTAATAATAAAATTTTGATCTTATTCTTGTACTTGTTTTGATGTGGATTGAAAGTGGTGGGAAAAAGGGGCAGTGGACTTTTTCCTCTAAAACAAACGTAAAAGAGGTTTTAATCCAAACAGTAAAATCAGTGTGAAATGAAAAAGCCATTGATGCAGTTCAAATTGGGACTGGAGACTCTGGATTTTCCATCACAGCCCAAAAGGGTCATCCAACCAAAATTTTGGCCTGGACTGGGATGGAACAGTAATGGCAATTGACTAATGGTGTCTGGCATGTTGGATACATTTGGGCCTTTTCCAAATGAAGTACCTGGGTCTGCTGCAGTATTTTCTTGATAAATTTCCTAAAGACAGTGACTTTCATTTGGGTTTTTAGGTAGAAATTGCCTCTGCTATTAGTCCTTGTAGATGTTTGCATTGCATCAAAGTCAGAATTTATTGCTTCTTGCCTTGTTTGACAAGTTGTATTGGTCCCTCATGTACCAAACCCTTGCTTCAGTAACTACTTGGAAGATGAAAAGTGAAAACAATACTTCCCTGAATTGCTATGTCTAGAACCTAGTTGGTCCCAGAAAGCATTCAAAATGGCAAACTTCAGTTCTTTCTTAAGTTGATGGAAACCAACCTCTATGAAGGATTCCATGATCTCGAACCGGTCTTACCTAGGAACACAAATCCCAAGTTTGTCTATCGAATTTTATCAGTGCTACATGATATTGTTCATAGGGACCTAGTATGGAGCTTTCTGTTAGTGCATGAGTGTTTGGAGTCCATAATATGCACTTTCTAGTAAGCTTTTCAATTTTAAAATCCTCTGTTACGCTTTGGATCAAGGAATCTGCTGCTAAATGGACTGGCTATGGATTGCAGGAAAGATGCAGAACATTCTGCAGTTTCCGGAGAGCGAGTTCAAGAAGACAGTGAAGATAAATTTCATGGCTCCATGGTTTCTGCTAAAGGCTGTTGGAAGTAGAATGCGAGACCATGACACAGGAGGTTCCGTCGTCCTCCTGACCTCACTAAATGGAGCAGAGAGAGGGATCTATCCAGGAGCTGCAGCATACGGTTCATGTTCTGCTGGAATCCAGCAATTAGTTAGGGTAAGTTAATATATAATGTTTCACATGGTTGGTGAATTTTTAAGTAGAGATGTTCGCTTCTCATGTCTTCAGAAGATGATCTTATTTCATGGATAGTCCATTAACTAAGGCCTTCCTGTTAACTTAGACCTTCATGTAGCAGTTATCCTATACCTCAGGATCTGCAATGGCTTCATCTGTGCATCTCTTTTCATGTGCTATTGCGTTATATGAATTGGGGCATCATGCTAGTTGGTGATACCAACTGCAACTTTCAAGAGTTAATAATGTTACTATACATCATATAACAACTTCAAACCAACTAGCATGATGTTAACCTCTACTCACACATCACATCTTCTCATTGAACCTTTTCTGGTCTGCAGAATTCAGCCATGGAAATTGGGAAGCACAAGATCCGAGTCAACGCGATTGCACGAGGCCTGCATCTGCAGGACGAGTTCCCCAAATCAGTAGGAAAAGACAGAGCAGAGAAGCTTGTTGGCGAAGTAGTACCTCTCCAGAGATGGCTAGATGCCCAAAATGATCTACCATCAACTGTCATGTATCTAATCAGTGACGGCTCTCGTTACATGACCGGAACAACCATATTCGTTGATGGAGGCCAGTCCATGTCGAGGCCCCGTCTGAGATCCTTCATGTAGTTCAAAATTGCTTGAAGGCGGCTTATAGTAGTAATTGCTACGGAAATTCTTTCATAGGAGAAAAGAAGAAAAGGGAAGAAAGGGATAAATAATAATGTTATCTTCAATCTCTTATTTGTAAGTAAAAGGGTCACCATTCTGATAATTTCTTCAATGGGAAGCAGCAATCTGCATACCTGCAGCTTAATCAATGGCTTGCTCGGGCTGAAAGGTCACTACTTTGAAACGATGGACCACGACTAGCTGCATCATAGCAGGCAGCAATCAAGCACACGTGGTTATGATAAAGTTTCGTTCTAGAAAGAAATAAATAGATCATTCATTGGAACAAACATAACAAAGAATTACTTAATCTCTGTTCAACGATGGCAGGCTGCGACTGTGTTGGAATTCAAACTCCAAATCTATAATATTTCTAGCTTCACGATGTGTTTTCCAATTGGGTTGGACTAGGAACAGGATCCACTTCTAGGCTATACGGTTTCTTCGGTTGACAAGTAATCAATCATTCAAAGGTAATAAGCTCCTTCCTTTCGATTAGTTGTGGATAAGCAGAGTGCCCTGTTTCTCTCTTCCGAGGAAACGGAGCAACTATGGCGGACGTCGGAGATGAACCCCGTCCGGTGGCCGTTAATCCACTATTTTCTTCGGATCATGAAATAATACTGTTTCCAGCAGCTTTGGCGAGTAAATAAATCAATTACCCACCATTCATTATCGGATAAAAGAATCAGAATTGGTCGGAGGAGGATTTTTCTTCCGATCTCTCTCACTCCGTCACGTGATAAAGGAAATTGCAGAGGCTCAGGGAATTTATGGCTGGGAAAGGAAGGAAAGGCCAGCGAACTCCGGCGGCGATCTGGGAGGTAGAAGAAAACCCCTTATCCGGTGGCCAACTCCATCACCAGCCCCGCCGCTGCTGCTGGCCGGTAGAGGAGTACGCCAGAGGACAAATGGCGCAAGAACGAGCGACGGAGCAGCGGGAACAAGCGCGAAAAATGGGAAATACGGGTGCCCGAAACGTCGAAACGCGAAACGTTTCGAGGTCTCAAAACCAAAATCGAAACGCGATAAATTGACGAGAAATTGAAATTGACGATATACGATATGATACGATATATCGTGATAATTTGGTGGTATATTGACTTTTCCCGATATATTGACTCGGCCTGACCGAGACCATCTCTGCCGAAACAGGGGGCGGGAAATAACCGGGGGAAAAACAGAAAAACAAGCAGAGCTCGCTGTTGTTGACTGAGCAAAGCCTAATGAAGAGGAATCACAAAGGGGAGAGTCGAGTAGAGAGAAGTTGGAGAGAGAAAGATAACGTATTTACAGCATATGACGCATCTCTATACGAATCCAACAAATATTGAGTAGGTAGGCAGGCTCTGTTTTCTCTTCCGGCAACGGCGACGGGTTGGGGGAATTAGTTCCGGCCCGGAGGTGTAAGTCTCTTTACTCGCTATCACTATGCATCATCCTTACCACTAAGCTTGGAATGACAGGAAGAATATATCATTATTCAGATTGAAGTTTTGCTCGGCTGCCTGTGAGAACACTCTGTTACAGCAGCTCGAGTCCATCTGCAGACGTTGGAAGTTATATCATTCAGCGACCCTTTCTATGGCTCCTATTCATTCTCAATAAACTACAGCAGCTAGCTAGCAGAGGTTGTGGGGTATAAACTAGAAAGTAATTAAATGGAAAACATGTACAAGCAGAGTGTGTGTCTGTCCTCTGTTTGAGCATTAGTTAGGCATAGTGGTGGGATTAAAGAGCACATAAGAAGAAGTTTCAACAGGTGTTTGAAAGAGGTGTCATTTTAGCTAGCTAGCAATAGTCAAACTCAGGACGAAACAGGGGCTGCGGCCAGCCAGCGGGCGCCTAATCTTACTATTGACCCTTCTACAGAGACATCCATCCATGACCAATTGACCGTAAGCCGTCCTATCTCTTCTCTACTCTCTCTTTCCACCCTTCTTTCCTCAGTACCTACGTTTCCATGTATGTGTAAATAGATATGTTTGAAGAGTTTTCAAACCGAATATTCACATCAAAAAATTTGAACATGCAGGTGTATCTATACATGCTACAAAAGTTGGTTAGGATGAGTACTCTATATATATATATATATATATATAGATGCATGAAAATACTACATCATCCTCATGAATAGGCCACATAAGGTCGGTCGGTCTCATCTAATCTCGAATCGGACTGAAATTCACCCATTTGAAACTAGACTCGATATTTCTTTAAATGAAGGGAATATGAAGACCAGACTATAAACAATGTACTTAATTTCATGTTTGGGACATTGTGCCAGATATCAATTTCATCTATTTTATTTTACATGCAATTTTGCAAGACACAGTTATGAACAAAGCAAGAATTAATCGGCAAATTTGTTGCTAGTCCAACTAGGGCTGGGAAAATAGACCAGACCGTTAGAAAAACCGTGGTCCAAACCGTACCGCACAGTTTGGTCCAGACCGTAGACCGTGAAGTATGGTCTGGTCTAGTCCATGGTCTGTATTATTTTATGATTTGATCTCTTGGTCTGGTCTGGTCTAGACCGCGGTTTACCGGACCAAACCGTAGACCCAACTGACTTGTCAATACGTGTTAACAATCCATTCAACCACTCTCCAAACTCCCACAACGACACCCAAGTCTCAACCTTAATTTTGTGAATCTCTTCCCTCCTTCATTCACAACCACATTTAACCACAGAGTAGAGATAATCGTGTCTCCATATGACATTATGTTAATGTTTATGACATTATGGTGCAAGCTGAGATGCTTTTACTTTGTATCTTTGTTATGTACTAAGATTTAGAGTATCAAAATTATTAATGCATGTTAGGATTAATGTTTTAAGGCAAATAACAATTATTTTTTTTTGTTATTGGTTCAATTTTTTGTGTGGTTGACTAAACAAATTATTCATTTTTCGTTGAGTGTGGTCTATCTGGACCAGACCAGACCGAACCAGACCGCACAGGCGTGGTCTGGACCAGACCGTATAGTCTGTGGTCTGGTCTGTGGTCTATACTTTAGCCTCTCGGTCTGGACCGTAAACCGTATATATGGTCTGGTCTGGACCAGACCGCACCGTTTCCCAGCCCTAAGTCCAACAATACACTTTGGCAATATGGGAATCCAATAGTTCAAGATTTTAAGTTCTGATAACTCTTGGTAGAAATGTATTAGCTAGCTAGTTTCCCTTGCTTAATAGTAGTATTATTTTCAATTTTCCATTTGAGCAATCCTTCAAAAGTGTAAAATAAATCGATTGGTGTACATTGATTTCACTTTCTTATAGATTACGCCTAATTTAGATATGAAAACAAAGAGAAACCCCTAATGAAACTTCTATCTTAATAGAAAATCATAATGAAACAAAATACGTAATAACCTACCTAGCTTACTAAAAGAGATATACTCTCATATAATATAAAATATAAATCCACTGACAAGAAAATTCTCGTGAATGGGACTAAATGTGAATTAACTGTTTATTGTGTAAATAAGAATGGTCTAACAGTTGAATCGATCGATTTGTTATCACCAATTTAATTACTTAATCGATATATCGAGATATCGCTGATTCATAATAATAATAAAAAAAAAAAAAGGAAAGCAAGAGGGCAGATACATGCACCACGAGGTGGAATATGAATGCAACTTCAAGGAAGTAACGTCGAGGAGCGGCTGTGTGGTCATGCGGACGCAGACATGCACTACTAATAGTACACTACCATTACCAATCCAAATGTGGAGACCAAAAAGAACGCAGTTCGTATTAAAGGGAAAAGCTTTATATATATAATGCTATTGAGAAAGAATAAGTAGCAATCAGTCAAATCCAAATTGGTCAAAGAAAAATAGTAGGTAGGTAGTAAGGAATGGGAGGAAAATAGCTCGCTTAGAATCGAATTAGAGAGACATTAATCATGCACGTGAGTTTACATGGACTAGCTATATTAAAATGATACAATGAGACTAAATCTCATGTTAATTAAAATGGGGCCAGCTATATATAACGGTAACTGTTGCTAGTCCTGGCTTGATTTAAATTAAGATTAGTTTTTATTTTGGGGGTGAAATATAAAAAGATGTAATACATCTACAGAAAGTGGATCAATATCCTATGATAATTTATGAAACTCAAACGAAAATTAATTTTCAAATGAATGTGTTTTTCTTCGTTTACTCGTTCAGATTGAGTTGGTCATGTCTAATTATCAAGGGTAATTGATGGACCTTATATATTAGTAGACGACGATGATTGACGTCCCCAAACAACTTTGTTCTAATTATACAGTTTTTGGTTGGGGAGGCGTTGGAATTGGAATGTTAAGGCAAATAGTATTCATCCGGTTTTGTGTTGCTCCTGCCTGCTGGTAATGCTTCTTTGTTTTCTGCTTTATATTTGTTTGGAGGAATAAAATATAGTGCGATTCAAATATGTGGTGATATGATAAATAACCAACTCGATTAGATAAATGTGGTGGCATTGTATTAATCTTAAGAAAGAACATAATATAACAATTAGGCATGTGCTATTGACTTGCCCATGTTACTGATCAATTACATTAATCTTAATTAGGCAGATTAATCGTCTCCAATGAAAACAAGGAGGCTAATCAATGGGAGTACTAGTCTTTTTTGTTTTTGTCATTTTCTTGCCCATATATTCTTTTAACCCAAGAGCTAGCGGTCAAATTCATAATCATGAAGCCGCCTCTTTTTTCACCTTCCACGTCTCTCTCCAAGAAATCAATCCGCTGATGAAGGCAACAAGGCCATTTTCCCTTATCACAAGACTATTTTGATTAGGAGAATAACATGTCATGTGTGATTATAATATTCCTCAGTTACCAGCCGCTTACGACACCTTCCATCCATTCCCCCGCCACTATATATATTTACACACACGCACATCTTCGTTTTCCCACTTCTACTTTCATTTTCTCAGCTCCCAAACAGCTTGCTTTTATTTCTTTCCCCCATGGAAAAGTTTCAGATGTTGTTCCCTTCCTCCTCCTCCTCTTCTTCAGCTCACCATCAGTACTACGATGATGATCATCATCACAATAGTATCAACTTCTTGTCATCCTCATCATCACCACCATCATCCTCGTCAATGAATGATGGTCCATCTATGATTACCATGGGGTCGAGCGCAGCTGATCATGATTACCATCATCAGATCAGTACTAATAACGATGATGGTCGTCATCAGGAGCAGGTTGTTACGGTGGCCATGGGGCCGGTAGCAGCAGATCAAGGAGATGGAGGGAAGAAGAAGAAGGGAGAGAAGAAGGTGAAGAAGCCTAGGTATGCTTTCCAGACGAGGAGCCAGGTTGATATCCTTGACGATGGCTATCGATGGAGGAAGTATGGTCAAAAAGCTGTCAAGAACAACAAGTTCCCAAGGTACTAATTAATCTTAATTCCTTTGTAACTTTTTACTTCTCGATCCATGGCTTTCGATTATAACATAGTACTGATCTATAGCTAGGTAGCTATCGTTTATTCTGAAACTTGATAAGATCACAAGAACACAGAAATTATTCAATGCAATTTAGCCTTAGTCAATCTATGACTTTGATGAAATCACATGAATGGAGAAGTTATTCATGTGGAGGACTATTCAACGTA